TACTTCACCAACTCAGGATTTCTACCATGCAGGTCCCCTGCCCATAGATCCTATCAAGATTTATTCATGTAACATTATGTCTCACCAAATGCCTCATCACACTTCCAATATCTGAATGATATTAGTGCAATATGATTTACAGGATTACAACCCCAGAAACAGACAGGGTTTACCATAAGTTAGGTACAAAGGTCTAGGTAATTATTCAAATTCATCGACAGTGGGATTTGAACCCTAGACTTTTTGCACGGTGGTCTGGTAACCTAACCACTACACTAAGATCGCCAGACCTTTCTTATAGTTTTTATTTTAATAGTTAATTATATCTTTTTATATTATGTATTGTGATGTTGAGTAATAGTAAATTGTTAGGAGTTTGGAATCTAATTAGTAGATAAAAGAATTTAGAGTAATTAGTAGAATAAAGTATAGTATGATATAGTAATAATAGATTAAGGATATTAATATAGATATGTATTTCTTTAAGTAAAAAATTAATTGAAATTTTGAATAGCAGTTTATGATTAAATTTGGCTAGGTATTAAATAAATGATTCAAGTATTTTATTTGAATTAAGAATAGAGTAATTATGATATTTTAAAAATAAATTATAACAAGTAACTTTAGTATATGATGAGGTAATAGTTACTAAAATTGTGTTAAATTTTTCTGTAGAGAGAGTGTTCTCTATATATATTGTGAAATTTGCCAAAACCTGCTCTATACATTGAGTCTAGCTAATATATACTTGGTTCTTTATAGAAAAATTTTTTATTTTAATTTTACAGATATATAGAATTCAAATAAAAAAAATTCATTGAATTTTGTTAGATAGTTATCAAAATATATTTGATCAAAGTCAGTAAACAGTTCAAAATATCTATCAAAATTAAAATAATTTAAAGTTTTAAAACTTTAAATAAACATATCTTAGCTCTTATCAGATCAAATTTGATAATTTTTTTTTAATTTAATTCTACAATTCTGTAAAATTCAAACAAAAAAAAATTTATCAAAATTGATCAGGTAGATACTGAGATATCTTTGTTTAAAGTTAGTAAACAATTCAAAATATCTATTAAAATTAATACAAAGCTAAAAATTTTTTAAAACTTTGAATGAAGATATCTTAATACTATCTAATAAAATTTAATAAATTTTTTTTTATTTTAATTCTATAATTCTGTAGAATTCAAACAAAAAAAATTCATCAAAATTAATTTAGTAGTTGCTAAGATATTTTTACTCAAAGTTAGTAAATAATTCAAAACTAGTAATCCTAGCTGATCAAAATTTTTCGACCAGCTAAGCTGATAAAATTTTTATTAGCTTAGCTAGCTTAGTCAATTTTTTATTAAAATTTTGAAATCCTTTAAAAGATTAAGTTCGTTCATTTTCTACATTAGAATATTATAATAAAATTGATCAGCTGATTTTTAAAAAAATTAACCAACTAAGCTGATTTTTTGGCTAAGCTAATTTTTTCACTATCAGCCAGAATCACTATTTAAAACATCTATTAAAATTAATACTATACTAAAATTTTTTTAAAACTTTGAACAAAGATATCTCAACATAACTAAATTTGATAATTTTTTTTATTTTAATTCTACAATTTTGTAAAATTAAAAAAAAATTTCATCAAATTTGGTCAGATAAGTGCTAAAATAGTTTGTTCAATATTTTAAAAAATTTTGATACAACATTGATTTTAATAAATATTTAAATTGTTTACTAACTTTAAGCAAAGATATCTTAGCAACTACTAAATCAATTTTGATAAATTTTTTTTGTTTAAATTCTACAGAATTTTAAAATCAAAATAAAAAAAATTTATCGAATTTGGTTAGGTAGGTATTGAGATATCTTTATTCAAAGTTTTAAAAATTTTTTAACTTTGCATCAATTTTAATAAATATTTTGAATTATTTACTAACTTTGAACAAAGATATTTCAGTGTCTACCTGATCAATTTTGATGAATATTTTTTTGTTTAAATTTTATAGAATTATAGAATTAAAATAAAAAAAAAATTCATTGAATTTGATCTGATAAAAACCAAGATATGTTCATTCAAAGTTTTAAAACTTTAAATTACTTCAATTTTAATAGATATTTTGAACTGTTTACTAACCTTAATCAAATGTATCTTACACTACCTAACTAAATTCGATGAATTTTTTTTTTATTTGAATTCACATATCTGTAGAATTAAATTAAAAAATTTTTTATTGAATTTGTTTGGGTAAATACTGAGATATCTTCATTCAAAGTTGCAAAAAATTGCAATTTCATAAGAGAGTATGGTTAATAAATTTGGGGAATATAAAAAATAGGACCCAATATATATCAGACATTTTTTGCTAGATTTATATGACCTATCATAGGCCTATCAGCTTGCAGATAGGTCACAGAAACTTTATTGTTGAACCTGTGAACATTTATATAAACTTGTAGATCTATAAGTTATAGATTTTATAAAAAATACACTTTCTAATAAAAATCAAATGAGATATGTTTGATTTTATTACCACCCGTACAAATCACATGAACTAGAACGTATGTGCCGTTGCTTTAGACGATACCCTTATTTGGGTTTGTAAATCGCTTTTTAAATACTAGGTTGCAATGTTTCCTAAAAAAACTAATTTATAAGACGAGACAAAGTTAAATTCCGTAAAGTAGGATAAGTAATAAAGTTGAAAAGAATCATGCCATTGATCATGGCTTCTCATTTCATTTTATATACAATTTTTTAAGCTTTTTTTTTTTGAGTATAATTATATACTTTGCAAGTTTGTTACAATTCTAAACTATTAGAATCTGAGATGTGTTTAGAAGTATTATTAAACAATGTTTTTTTAAAGTTCTAAAGTGAAGTAATTTTTACCGAAACTTTAATTATAGATAGTTACACTAAGTTACAGCGGCAATCATTGGGACGATTTACTAGTCTCTAATAAAATAGAATTTATTACAATAAAGACATTATAACAAAAAGTTATAGGTTTATATGTTCTAAATGTAATATATTGTTAAAAATTGATTAATTAACCAAGAGATAATATTCTTGTAACAGGCGTAGTGTTATTAAAGAACAATGATTTGAAAGAAAAACAAACAAATCATTTAAGAAGCTTTGTTTATTGAACTAATGTTTTTGTAAAAATTTTTTAAAAAAAAATGTAATTTCGTCTATTTGTAAAATTTATAAAAATCATATATAAAATTTTGATGCGACAAACTGTGACCGATATATACATAATATTTACACATATATCATTTAGAAACAGATTCACTTGATATTTTTAACTCTTAATATCAACTACTTTAGAATAATCAGGATCCGATTGCAATGTAATTGTAAATTGTGTGCATGCACTATTATATTCGATATTAATTATAAATATTTCTTCTGTGATATTATCGAGAACTGAAGGCGGTTTATGGCCGCTTAAAAAAAAATTAACAAGGGATATACCCATGTCAAAATGACCAGCGTACATTTGAGCTTGATCAATTGGTTTCTCAAAGTCATTTGATGATATTTTGTTACATTTGAGCGAATAAGCTACCAAATTTTTGTCGCCATCAACTATCATCAAATCAAGTCGTGTTCTACCTTCGCCTTTCATCTCAAGTAAGCACATCATTGGTCTAGGTAATATGCCATTAAAGACACAAAAAAGTGACGCTTGCATAATCCTTTCTGATATACCTACTTTATTTTGGACTCTTTTATCAGTAACTATGGTAGGATTAATCCAGCTTAATCCAAGCGCTAGTAAATCAACAGGATTATCTGGAACTTCTTTCTTTGGTATAGGTCTTGAAGGTGAGGGGAAAAGGGCATCGATACAAACACGCAAAATAATATAACTCGTAAACGCAACTGAATTTGAGTCTACGAGGTAAAGAATTCCGATGTCAAGTAATTTTTTGTCCAGATCAGTTAAGTTATTTAAATCTATTTCCCAACGATCTGCCATATATTCTGTAAGACTACGAATATACTTTCTTTCATGAGTATTCATATTGTCTATTTCATTTTTCAATGTGATATGAGTACCATTAATATACTTAGAAAGGTTTTCATGTAACGCTTTTTTCCACTGTCCAATGGTTGGTAAATTATCACTAAAAAGCCTTAACAGAATCATAAAGGATGCCGGATGTCCGCAAGACGCTCTTTCGATCTCAACTTGCAAATCATATGGAACACCATTTGTATTTATACCAAATTTATATGACTCGAAGAGCCTGCCCATTTCTTTAGTGCTGAATAGTGGCATTTTTTCGAATTTAGCTTAGGTCTTCTTGAGATGTTTATTGCTTAATATATTATGAGCCTGCAGAGCTCTGGTTAATCTTGAAGCAAACCTACTAGAGCAGTTTGTGTCTATTTCACAGATTCATCTAGCTTAGATCCTTGTAGATGTTCATACAACTTCTGTTCCTACAATAGTTCTCTACTAGTTTTCTGTTTGCTGATTTCTTCAGATGTTTTATGAAGCAGATCTTCCTAATTCAATTAGCTACCAAGCCAAGTTGGTATTGCTAATTCTCTTTGTAGAGTAAACTTACTCATATTTCTCTTAATCTATATTTTCAGAGTGATAGTTTTTTTTCTGAATTAAGTATTAGCTAGTATAACTGTCAAAAGCTATACTACTTCATCTACTCAAAATTTCTACT